TCTGCAGGAGCTGAAGGAGGCGTTTGAGCAGAGTTCCGTGCTGCGTTTCACTTACGAGATGGAAAAGGATGGGAAGCCGCCCTTTCTAGATGTAACAGTCATGGAAAAGAGCGGAGATTTCCACACTGCAGTCTACACTAAGGAAACGAACATAGGAATGTGCCTAAATGCCAACAGCGACAGCCCAGACAGGTACAAAAGGAGTGTTGTTAACGCATATGTCGACCGTGCTCTCAGCCACAGCTCAGAATGGAAGCAAGTCGACGAAGAACTCTGTAGGGTAAGGCAGGTCCTAGTCAACAACGGCTTCTCGAATGGTTTCGTCGAAGACATCATAAGAAGGAAAGTGAAACGCCATGCAACATCTGAAGAGACAACTAACACAACACCTATACCCCCTATTAGACTATTTTACAGGAACTTCTTTTCCACAGCTCATAAAACGGAGGAAAGGGTCCTGAAAGATATTGTTAATAGAAACGTTATCCCTACAGACAAAAATCAGAGAATACAACTGACGATTTACTATAAAACCAGAAAAACGGCCAGCCTACTCATGAGAAACTCTCCAGACACAAAGCAGAACGCTTTAAAAGAGACCAACGTCGTCTATGCCTACAAATGCCCTCTTGGGGACTGTAAGCTCCAAAAAACCCAGTATATAGGCAAGACAACAACATCTCTTTCTAGGCGTTTAACGATGCATAAGCAACAGGGTTCCATTAAGGAACATATAATCTCTTCCCACAACCAAACCATCGCCAGAGAAATCCTAGTAAACAACACAGAAATCATCGATAGATACAGCGATAGCAGGCGGCTTGACGTTTGCGAGGCACTACACATTAAAAAGTCAACACCAGCAATCAACAGCCAATTAATGCACAACTATATTCTACCCACCTCAAGACTCCGCTCCAATATAGAAGCATCAAGAAATATGGACCAATAGGCTTTCTACAATCACTTCCATTCAATACCCATTGTTTCGTGTTCTGTCTTGTGTTGATGAAATTAATACCCTATTAATGCCACCTCACCCCATCCACCTCACTCAAATGTAGATATAAACAAATCGGAGATGTGTAAGTTCTATTCAGTTGTGTATGTGTAAACAAAAGTCTTTGAAAATGTAATAAGTTTTACGAAACGCGCTCAAGTGTCGCGTCAGACTAGAAATAAAAATGAATTTTGGAGAATTGATTTTTGAATTACCACCAACAGTGAAAAGAAATGTACGAAAGATAGAGAAAATTCGTGTTAGAATTATTAATCTTACTTTTTCGGTCATATTTAATAATATATTTATGAGGGGATGAGAAGTTTCCTAAGCGATATACGATGGGACACAGACCTCAGAGCTAAGTCGGTACAAGACATGATGGACTATGTCACCCAAAAGTGTCAGGAGGCAGTAAACAGGTTTATCTCGGCCCAAAGGGAAAAATTCGAGAAGCAAAAGAAGAATTCATGGTTAAACAGAGCATGTATGGAACTGAACAAAAGGGCGTGGAGGAACTTCCAAAATAACAGAACACCAGAAAGCAGAGAGAGATACCAGAGAACCAGGAATGAGTATGTTAGTGTGAGAAGGGAAGCAGAGAAAAATTAAGAAAATGATATAGCAAGCAAAGCCAAGACCGATCCAAAGCTACTTCACAATCACATCAGGAGGAAAACAACAGTGAAAGAACAGGTAATGAAACTTAGAACAGGCGAGGACAGGTACACAGAGAATGACAAAGAGGTGTGTGATGAACTCAACAAGAGGTTCCTGGAGGTCATCACAATAGAACAAGGTGAGATCACTGCGCTAGGAGAGGGGGCAGTAAACCAGGCGGCCTTGGAAGGGTTCGAAATTACGAGAGATGAGGTCAAGAGACACCTGTTGGATCTGGATGTGAGAAAGGCTGTTGGTCCAGACGGGATCTCGCCATGGGTATTGAAAGAGTGTGCAGAGGCACTCTGCTTGCCACTCTCCATAGTGTATAATAGGTCACTAGAGACAGGAGACCTACCAGAAATATGGAAGGCGGCGAATGTGGTCCCAATATACAAAAAGGGTGACAGACAAGAGGCACTGAACTACAGGCCAGTGTCCTTAACTTGTATACCATGCAAAGTGATGGAAAAGATCGTGAGGAAAATCTAGTAACACATCTGGAGAGAAAGGACTTCGTGACAAATCGCCAACATGGGTTCAGGGAGGGTAAATCTTGCCTTACAGGCCAAATAGAATTCTACGATCAGGAGACAAAGATTAAGCAAGAAAGAGAAGGCTGGGAAGACTGCATTTTTTGAACTGTCGGAAAGCCTATGATAGAGTCCCCGATAAGAGGCTGGTACATAAGCTGGAGAGACAGGCAGGTGTAGCTGGTAATGTGCTCCAGTGGATAAGGGAGTACCTAAGCAATAGGAAGCAAAGAGTTACAGTGAGGGGTGAGACCTCAAATTGGCGTGAAGTCACCAGTGGAGTCCCACAGGGCTCTGTGCTTGGACCTATCCTGTTTCTGATATACGTAAACGATCTCCTGGAGGGTATAGACTTATTCCTCTCAATGTTTGCTGACGACGCCAAAATTATGAGAAGGATTCAGACAGAGGAGGACTGTTTGAGGCTTCAAGAAGACCTAGACAAACTAAAGGAATGGTCGAACAAATGGTTGTTAGAGTTTAACCCAAGCAAATGTAATGTAATGAAGATAGGGGTAGGAAGCAGGAGACCAGAGACAAGGTATCACTTGGGAGATGAAATACTTCAAGAGTCAGAGAGAGAGATAGACCTGGGGGTTGATATCACGCCAGACCTGTCCCCTGAAGCTCATATCAAGAGGATAACATCAGCAGCATATGCCAGGTTGGCTAACATAAGAACGGCCTTTAGAAACTTGTGTAAGGAATCTTTCAGAACATTATATACCACATATGTCAGACCAATCCTGGAGTATGCGGCTCCAGCATGGAGTCCATATCTAGTCAAGCATAAGACAAAACTGGAAAAGGTTCAAAGGTTTGCCACCAGACTAGTACCCGAGCTGAGAGGTGTGAGATACGAGGAGAGACTACGGGAATTGAACCTCACTTCGTTGGAAGACAGAAGAGTTAGGGGGGACATGATCACCACATTCAAGATTCTCAAGGGAATCGGCACGGTTGATAAAGACAGGCTATTTAACACAAGGGGCACACGCACTAGGGGACACAGGTGGAAACTGAGTGCCCAAATGAGCCACAGAGATATTAGAAAGAACATTTTTAGTGTCAGAGTGGTTGACAAATGGAATGCATTAGGAAGCAATGTGACTCCATACACAGTTTCAAGTGTAGATATGATAGAGCCCAATAGGCTCAGGAACCTGTACACCTGTTGATTGACGGTTGAGAGGCGGGACCAAAGAACCAGAGCTCAACCCCCGCAAGCACAACTAGGTGAGTACAACTAGGTGAGTACACACACACACACACACACACACACACACACACACACACACACACACACACACACACACACACACACACACACACACACACACTGCGGCTGAGCGGAGATGACGGCGGCTGAGCAGACAGCACACTGGGCACGTGATCCTGTGGTCCCGAGTTCGATACCAGACGCCGGCGAGAAACTATCAGCAGAGTTTCTTTTACCCTATGTCTCTGTTACCTACCAGTAAATAGGTACCTGGGAGTTAGTCAGCTGTCACGGGCTGCTTCCTGGTGTGTGCGTATGTGTGTGTTGAGGAAAAATACAAAAAACAAAAATAATAGTAGTTAGTAACAGTTGATTGACAGTTGAGAGGCGGGTCGAAAGAGCAGAGCTCAACCCCCGTAAGAAGAACTTGGTGAATACAACTAGGTGAATACCCACACACCGTTAAAGAGACGATATGTGAGGCTTTTACCTCCCATCCTCCAGACACAACAGACAGACAGATGAGAGTTGGCTCAACCAGGAGAGTGCCAAGTGAGGCAGTTTTTGTTCCCCAACAGGAGAGAGATCCAAGTAGGAGAGTTTTGTCCAGAACCAAGTGAGAGATAGTTGCCTAAACCCTCAAAAAGGATCAGGAAAATTATAGTTGCCTTCACCGCTAGAGAGAGGAAAGATAATAGCGAGCTGCCGGGAAAAAACATCCAGAGGAGCTTTCTCTCCCCTCTTGAAGATAACCTGCTGATAGTGAAAAATTCCTATCCCCCCCTTCTGAAGAGAGCATAAAATGAGCGATTATCGTCACCCAGCAATAATCAACTGAGAGAAATTGATACTTTTCAGATAAAAATATATATGAGAGAGATAGTAGTCCCGAAGATAACCAAGTAAGATATATAATTTACCAAAATAGAGAGATAAATAAAAAAAAAAAAGGTAGCCACCACCGAGAGAGTGAGAACGTAGTGAAAGACCTCGCCCTCAACCCGGGGAAGAAAACCAGGTGATAGAGTTCTCCCGGCTTGAACATGTAAGACAACCAAAAAGAGATATCTCTCCTCAACAACAGAACAGAATAGAGTTAATTAGGAGATAGTGTTCCTCAGTCTAGAGAGTATCGTATGAATGATATATGTCTCTTCATCTTAAAGAGAATCACGTTATACAACATCTGACTGAAACTTTGGGGAGCCGGTCGGCCGAGCGGACAGCACGCTGGACTTGTCATCCTGTGGTCCTGGGTTCGATCCCAGGCGCCGGCGAGAAACAATGGGCAGAGTTTCTTTCATCCTATGCCCCTGTTACCTAGCAGTAAAATAGGTACCTGGGTGTTAGTCAGCGGTCACGGGCTGCTTCCTCGGGGTGGAGGCCTGGTCGAGGACCGGGCCGCGGCGACACTAAAAAGCCTCGAAATCATCTTAAGATAACCTCAAGATAACATTCATTATTTACATATTTCTGAGCACATTTTGTACTCCTTTTTAATATCATTGTACCTATATATAGTTCTCTGTGCTTGGAATATTTTGCCAACCTTCTCTCGTCTTTAAACATATGATCTTTGATCCAATAGGTTCAGCTGCAGAACCTGATGACTTCAAAGTACATCGAACACTTCCTGGAGGAGGTATCCATGTGGCAGAACAAACTCTCCGTCGCTGACCAGGTCATCACTCTCTGGTAAGTCCAGTTGTTATGCATTCACACCAGTTCCTAATGTCAATAACATATACGAGTAAAAAATTATGAAAGCAAGAGAGAGAGAGAGAGAGAGAGGTAAAGGATTAGAGAAACAAAGTGAGAAATATTCCAAAATACACACACAAAATAAATATATAAAAATAAAATAAATAATTAAATATTATATATTTAATATATAATATATTCCCCATATATTTATATATATGTCGTACCTAGTAGCCAGAACGCACTTCTCAGCCTACTATGCAAGGCCCGATTTGCCTAATAAGCCAAGTTTTCCTGAACTAATATATTTTCTCTAATTTTTTTCTTATGAAATGATAAACCTACCCATTTCATTATGTATGAGGTCAATTTGTTTTTATTTGACTTAAAATTAACGTAGATATATGACCGAACCTAACCAACCCTACCTAACCTAACCTAACCTATCTTTATAGGTTAGGTTGGGTTAGGTAGCCGAAAAAGTTAGGTTAGGTAGGTTAGGTAGTCGAAAAACAATTATTTCATGAAAACTTGGCTTATTAGGCAAATCGGGCCTTGCATAGTAGGCTGAGAAGTGCGTTCTGGCTACTAGGTACGACATATATATACATATATATAATATATATGTATATATATGTCGTACCTAGTAGCCAGAACGCACTTCTCAGCCTAATATGTAAGGCCCAATTTGCCTAATAAGCCAAGTTTTCATGAATTAATTGTTTTTCGACTACCTAACCTACCTAACCTAACCTAACTTTTTCGGCTACCTAACCGAACCTAACCTATAAAGATAGGTTAGGTTAGGTTAGGTAGGGTTGGTTAGGTTCGGTCATATATCTACGTTAATTTTAAGTCAAATAAAAACAAATTGACCTCATACATAATGAAATGGGTAGGTTTATCATTTCATAAGAAAAAAATTAGAGAAAATATATTAGTTCAGGAAAACTTGGCTTATTAGGCAAATCAGGCCTTGCATAGTAGGCTGAGAAGTGCGTTCTGGCTAATAGGTACGACATTATATATATATATATATATATATATATATATATATATATATATATATATATATATATATATATATTTAGACATCTGCAGGAGCTGAAGGAGGCATTTGAGCAGAGTTCTGTGTTGCGTTTCACTTACGAGATGGAGAAGGATGATAAGCTGCCCTTTCTAGATGTAACAGTCATGGAAAGGAGCGGAGGTTTCCACACTGCAGTCTACACTAAGGAAACAAACATAGGAATGTGCCTAAGTGCCAACAGTGACTGCCCAGACAGGTACAAGAGGAGTGTTGTTAACACTTATGTCGACCGTGCTCTCAGCCACAGCTCAGGATGGAAGCAAGTCGACGAAGAACTCTGTAGGGTAAGGCAGGTAATAGTCAACAATGGCTTCTCCAATGGTTTCGTTGAAGACATCATAAGAAGGAAAGTGAAACGCCATGCAACCTCTAAAGAGACAGCTAACACAACACCTATACCCCCCGTATTAGACTATTTTACAGGAACTTCTTTTCCACAGCTCATTAAAAGGAGGAAAGGGTCCTGAAAGATATTGTTAATAGAAACGTTATCCCTGCAGACAAAAATCAGAAGATACAACTGACGATTTACTATAAAACCAAAAATTCGGCCAGCCTACTCATGAGAAACTCTCCAGACACAAAGCAGAACGCTTTAAAAGAGACTAACGTCGTCTATGCCTTCAAATGCCCTCTTGGGGACTGTAAGCCTCAAAAAACTCAGTATATAGGCAAGACAGCAACATCTCTTTCCAGGCGTTTAACGATGCATAAACAATAGGGCTCCATTAAGGAACATATAATCTCTTCCAACAACCAAACCATCACCAGAGAAATCTTACCAAACAACACACAAATCATCGATAGATACAGCGATAGCAGGCGGCTTGACATCTGCGAGGCACTACACATCAAGAAGTCAACACCAGCAATCAACAGCCAAATAATGCACAACTATATTCTACCCACATCAAGACTCAGCTCCAATATAGAAGCATCAAGAAATATGGGCCAATAGGCCCTCTGCTATTACTTCCATTCTTACCTTCAATACCCATTATTTCGTGTTCTGTCTTGTGTTGAAAGTTTTTTGGATGAGGTGAAAACACTGTTGTAACATATCACCTCACCCAAATGCAGGTATAAAAAATCGAAGATGTTTAAGCTCTATTCAGTTATAGTTCAGTTGTGTGTGTGTGTAAACTAAAGTCTTTGAAAATGTAATATGTTTTACGAAACGCGCTCAAGTGTCGCGTCAGACTTGAAATAAAAATGAATTTTGGAGAATTGATTTTTCAATTACCATTAACAGTGAAAAGAAACATAAGAAACATCGAGAAAATTCGTGTTAGAATTATTAATTTTACTTTTTCGGTCATATTTAATAATATATATATATATATATATATATATATATATATATATATATATATATATATATATATATATATATATATATATATATAGGCCCGATTTATATAACAAGTTTTTTTTTATATAACGTAATTTTTTTCTTATGAAATGATAAAGCTACCCATTTCATTATGTATGAGCTCAATTTTTTTTTATTGGAGTTAAAATTAACGTATATATATGACCGAACCTAACCAACCCTACCTAACCTAACCTAACCTATCTTTATAGGTTAGGTTCGGTTAGGTAGCCGAAAAAGTTAGGTTAGGTTAGGTAGGTTAGGTAGTCGAAAAACAATTAATTCATGAAAAGTTGGCTTATTAGGCAAATCGGGCCTTGCATAGTAGGCTGAGAAGTGCGTTCTGGCTACTAGGTACGACATATATATATATATATATATATATATATATATATATATATATATATATATATATATATATATATGTCGTACCTAGTAGCCAGAACTCACTTCTCAGCCTACTATGCAAGGCCCGATTTGCCTAATAAGCCAAGTTTTCATGAATTAATTGTTTTTCGACTACCTAACCTACCTAACCTAACCTAACCTAACTTTCTCTACTACCTAACCTAACCTAACCTATAAAGATAGGTTAGGTTAGGTTAGGTAGGGTTGGTTAGGTTCGGTCATATATCTACGTTAATTTTAACTCCAATAAAATAACATTGACCTCATACATAATTAAATGGGTAGCTTTATCATTTCATAAGAAAAAAATTATAGAAAATATATTAATTCAGGAAAACTTAGCTTATTAGGCAAATTTGGCCTTGCATAGTAGGCTGAGAAGTGCGTTCTGGCTACTAGGTACGACATATATATATATATATATATATATATATATATATATATATATATATGGAAATGTTCGTTTGTTCAAAATAGCTAATCTCCGAAAGTTCTTAACCGCTCGCTTTGAAATTTTCACACAACGTTCCATTCGCATCCGGCCAGATTTATATATACATGCTATATAGATGTCACTTCTGTGACGGTAGAAAACATGCTTTTTCTGAAAAACTATGTTTTTCATGTGTTTTTCAGGTGAGGAAAATCTTCGAAACCTCTTTACCGATTGATTGAAATTTTGACACAACGTTGCATTCGAATAGGCACGTCGTTTTACACCTGCGACAGGAAAAAATCATGCGTTTTTTTTTTAAACAGCGCCATCTGTTGGACGTAAGAGCAACACATGCTGTAATCTCCGAAAGTTCTTCACCGATTGCTTTGAAATGTTGACACAACATTGCATTCGAATAGGCGCGTGGTTTTATTTACCTACTATATAGATGCCACCCCTGTGATAGGTAAAAAAAAAATGTTTTTTTTTGAAAAAACAACACCATCTGTTGCACATAATATTAACATGCACGCTATACTATATATGTCGCGAATTCCATTTCAATGTTTCCGATTGCATTGATAATTTTTTTCATTGATTTCGATTTATTACATTTTTCATTGAAATATTTTGTGTGATATTGTTTTGGAATTTAGCTGTGTTGTTTACCATACCATTCATTTCGTAAGTATAAATATAAGTATAGATGCCAAATCAGTTACAGGTAAAACAATTCTTATCATGAAAAACTGTGCCATCTGTTGCATGTAAGAGCAACACACATGCTATACTAAATATGTTACAATTCCATTTCAGTGTTTCTGATTACATTGATAAATTGAATTTTCATAGATTTTGATTTATTTTCATTTTTATTTAATTATTATTTATGAATTGCGTTGGACCTGAGCTGTGTTGTTTACAATAACGTTCGTTTCGTGAGTACAGATTTTTTTCATATTTTCATCTCATTTTGTAACTGTTTTTCTTATATTTCAGTGATGGGAACATCAGATCACTTGATGTTCCCAATTTTTTTATGGGAAGATCAGCCCATTTGGGAAGGCATTTGAGAGGGCATCGGACGAGGGAGTGAGAAATGGTGGGGATGACAAGGGGACAAGAGAGGAGGTAATGGTTGGGAAGAACAAGGGGATGGGGGAATGGAGAATGGTGGGGAGGACAAAGGGACAGGGGAGTGGGGCATGGGGCAACGAAGAAGGGATAGTGGAGTGGGGAATGATGGGGAGGGCGAGGGGTCGACCGTGCTCTCAGCCACAGCTCAGGATGGAAGCAAGTCGATGAAGAACTCTGTAGGGTAAGGCAGGTCCTAGTCAACAACGGCTTCTCCAATGGTTTTGTTGAAGACATCATAAGAAGGAAGGTGAAACGCCATGCAACCTCTGAAGAGACAACCAACAGAACACCTATACCCCCTATTAGACTATTTTACAGGAACTTTTTTTCCACAGCTCATAAAACGGAGGAAAGGGTCCTGAAAGATATTGTTAATAGAAACGTTATCCTTACAGACAAAAATCAGAAGATACAACTGACGATTTACTATAAAACCAAAAATTCGGCCAGCCTACTCATGAGAAACTCTCCAAACACAAAGCAGAACGCTTTAAAAGAGACCAACGTCGTCTATTTCTTCAAATGCCCACTTGGGGTCTGTAAGCCTTAAA